CCGTAAGTTTTTCCGTAAAATTTTAACTTATTGCATAGGAAAAATAATAAGTTACACTAAAAGTCAAAGAGGTGGACTTTGAGAGATACGAGAGTGCTAAGTTATTGTTTTGCGAAAGAGGCAATTACATGGCACTCTAGAGAGCCTGATTTTTAACTTATTTGTTTCAAATATTATTTTATTCATTCTTTAATTTGACGGGGAAAATCTACGGGTTGCACCGTTATTTGAAATACGGACAAGTCCGTATCTTTAAATTACAATCATCCCGTTACGGTCTGGTACCGTATTTGGAATTTACAGTGAGTACCGTAAGGATTCTGTATTTAGCCAACGGAATTTCTAACTGTCATAAGACATTCAGTATTTAATTGACTTACATGTAGTGATGTCTGCAATAACGGATAGCAATATGGTCCCATAATATTTTTATCACTACCACGGGTGGTGCAGTACAGAATTATTGCACTAAATTTGTGGATACCATTGCATTAGAAATTACAGTGCCCCAATGTAAAATTACACATAGTTGATGTCATACGTCGAGTTGTAAAATTGTAAACAGTGTCGAGGTGTAAAATTTATCACACAAATTGCACTGCTTTCGTTCTAACGTGGGTCATCGGCCTACCTCTGTTTGTTTTGCTGCAGGGACAAAGTCTCGGCGACGGTGCTACTGCTCTTGTGTGGATTGTTGAGCGCCGTGCGACCGAGTTGGCCGTTTGGTTGCCTGGATATTCTGACCAGGCAGCAACTGTGCCGGTAGAGAGTGACTATACGGATCTGCGAGTTGGGTATTGGGGAAAGCCTTATTCAGCTAAATTTAAAGGCAAGTACTTGCGCACTACTACGTAGTAATCGTTGCGGGGCAAAGAAACGGAAGAAAATGATTGCTGGAGGTGGACTTTCCAAAGTGACCTCGTTTTCGTCTTTCACAACCGTACGGCACAGCGGCACTTATCAAGCTAGGCCCACTCCCTGCTGGCTGACCTAAGTTGCCGGTGGAGTGAAGCGGAGTAGGTAGAAGTACTGGCACTTCGAAATTTGCAAAACCCCCAGGTAAACCACTAGTGGCATCTATAAAGAGTAAGTAGCAATTTTGTTGACAATCGCAGACCCATCCGTTCAGCTACAATCGTGCACACCGAAAGGGACTGCATCGTCCTGTCGGAGGCTAAGATGGAGAGTGCGCACACCGGCGCGCTTAGGCAAAATTCACGTCTATGTTCTTAATACACCTTTAATCCTATCCTAAATCGATGCGGCTTGTAGTTTTTATGAAGTGATGATTTTCCCAAACTCTTCAATTCACAGGCCTGCTCCCGGGTGAAGTCCTTCCTTTGTTATACCAGTGGTCATGCCTCTGCAAAGGCATAAGCGCAGTAGCACCCCCGTTAGGGGTGTTAGGCCGCACCTTCGTATTTCCAGTGAACCTAACATGGATCAGGCCCCAAATGATCTTTTTAATACCATGAATTAGTAGAGTAGAAAAGGCCCATCAAGAATGTCCACTATACGGTATTGTTCTTTTTTGGTCTTTTTTCGGGGAGTTGTGGCGTTGTGGTCACTGTTTTCAAAGAAAATAAATGAAGTCGAAGTAGGACGCAGCCACTCCTGGATAAAGGAAATATTGTAGACAAGCCGGATAAGCCCAGATACAGTGTTTCATACGCTACTGGTACACTGTTAAAGGAAATGCAATAAATTTCACACATTTTAGGGTAATAAAGCTCTGTTGCGATTCCCACGTTTTACTGCGCGCTGGAGAGCGATAAAATACTGTCCCAAAATTAGCGATAAGTGTCACATTCAAGTGTGATGTTTTCTGGGCTTATCACCTTTTATTGCGATACCTTTCGCTTTTAAACGTGATGGCTCTGAGTATTGCACAAAGAAGGTTCGTCATTACTAATTCATGCGATGACTTTATTTGTTATACAGGTAATATAGCAATGAACATCACGAAAATATGCAATACGTTTTGTATCGTAAAAAATATGCATTCGCGCGAGAGGTTGCTCACTGGCCCCTATGGTTGTACACCGACTTAAACTCAAAGTTGACTGTTTGACTTTTTCTGACTTTTTCTGACTTTTTTTTGACTTTAGTGACTTTTTGTCAACTTTTGGCCTTTTTTGGATTTTTTTTTTGGACTTTTTTTTTTACTTTTTGACTGATTTTCGTAAAGTTTAGTAGGATTTTTTGCTCGTTTACACAGATTTAGACATTTTTCGGCAGTACACAAATTGGGGACACTATACTGAAGTTGATATCTCTATGATTAGTAAGTACCAGCCATCTGGTATAGAGGCCTTAGGGGCAAGTGATTTCTATGTTGAATTTGCTGAAGAACGTTTAGGAAACATTGGATTTAACGTGCTAGTCAAACCGTTCAAATTTTTTTTTTCAGCACTTTTTGCATTGTGTTTTAAAACTGTACCTTGTATAGCAAATTTGGTCATCATAGAAAGTTTAATTAAATTTCTTTGAATTGAGAAAGAACCAAGGAACAACTTGTGTGAAAATTAAGTGATGTAGGATTTCAAATTTTGGGTAAAATCTCAATATATTACAAGTTAAAAATATTTGCCACAATGGAGCTTCCATAATTTCTTAAATATAGGAGGACAGGAGGGATAAATATGCAAATGTGACTCGTAAATCTTGTAGAACACCCTCTTATACCTATCTCTCCAAATAACCATCCCAGTAACTTAAAATTTGTTTTGCAAGGAAGATTTAGAGCGTTGTAAGTAAGAATGGACCTGAAATCACTATTCTAAGCACAACCAAAAAGTGGAGGTTTGATAAGATGCATTTACTATTGTCTCTAAAACCAAATAAAGTAAATAGGTCAAAAAGAAGAAAAAAAGTCTGCATAGTATAAATAAACTAGTTATTCAATCAAAAATAAACGAACACTAGAGCAACTGCTGACTTTGCTGACTCACTCTGACCTCTGGCCACCTGGTCGGTGGTCGCAAGTTGGGAGGAATATAGGGGTTGCAAGCAAAAATGTTTGATTATTCTCTTTTTTATTTTCTTAAATTGTTTCTTAGTATTCAACCTATTCAACATACAGAAACAGCAATAATTTTTTTTAAAAATGTGAATATTACCTTTCTACAAAATTGAGAGGATGTGAAGGGACCTAAGGGAAAAGCAAACCAAGTTTAGTGACAATTGAAGACCATTAAATTTTGTTAAAAGAGTTACGATATTCTGCTAAATTTTGTTGATATCTTTAATCGAAGGGTATAGGGAACAAAAATCCAACTTTTTGTCAAAGTAGGTTTTGTACCAGATTCCAATTTCCTTTTCAATTCTGTAGTCAGTTTTTACCTTTTTGCAAAGGTCCATTGCGTTTTATCTATACCCTGTCTTAAATACGCAGTTTTTGCCTCAAAATTTTTAGAAATTTTTATCTCACAAACCGTTTGAGCTATAGAGCCCAGATTTGGAGTGGGATCATACTTCATGAATACCTTTAATTTACGAAATAAACACCAAAATCGGTTGCGAGATCCGAAATCTTGGGTCGATTAGGAAAAGAACTAATCTTTTTTGCTACTTTTCTGGAGGTCAAGCGACTTTTCCGTTGATTTTACGAATTTTCCTGAAGGTGCCCATCAACATTAGTTGTCCGATTGAATGGTTTTTGCATTCGCTCATACAAACAATGCAGTTGGGCAACTGCAGGGAACGCTTTATCTGTGACAGTCACAGGATTAGCTCCCGCAACGAATTATTAGCTACTGTACCTAATTTTCTTGGCTGTCCTCCAGGCAGCTAACATTTGGCTCGCAAACCTAATGTTAAGCAGGAGCAGCTAATTTATTTTTTTCCGTGTGTTGATTTGTTCACTGTTCACTGATTTTCGTAACTTAAGCATAAGTTTTTGACTTTTATTGACTTTTTTTTTATTTTTTTGCGACCTTTTGCTGACTTTTTCCAGAGTCTACACAGATTTTTCGAAGTGAGCAACCCCTCGATTCACCATCACACTGTGATTTACAGTGTTAACGGTGTCAAAAGTGGATCATACCTTTAGCCCTCGAACAATAATCATGGACTTGATAATATAATTTCATTCTTATCTCCATCACTGTACCTTACGGCTGTCAATGACGAAAAAAAAGTCATGTGGCTAAATCCAGAATCCCCACCGTACCTTTCCAGTTTTTTTTTTTTTTTTTAAAGAACCGCGGCGACTTAGCGTCACTCAAAGGCTCATGGAAATTGCCGAATAATTTGCACACCATCGGTGCTGTGTCCGAAATACCACATTTAAACACACTCAACGGTTTTGACAGGCCCGCTGGAAGTAGCAGCTGACGTCATCACGGCTGTGCGCCTCAGGCCGCACCGCACCTTCAGTGCGGTGGATGAACTTGGACGCGCGCTGAGGGATGTGGCGAGGACGGACGAGCACCAGCAGTTGGCCCGTTGGGCGGGTGCGGCGGCTGCCGGTGTTCCTCGCGCTGCAAACGTGACGCACCTCTTCACCGACAGCACAGAGTACCTGGGCGGGTTGCTGAGCCTGGCGACCGCAGCCACGAGGATGAACGACAGGGACATGGAGCTGTACGTGACGCAGCGAGGTCAGAGGGCGATGCAGGAGCTCTCGGAGAAGATGAGTGCCTTGGCGGTGGTGACGGAGCACGTTGTGGAGGCCGCCAACGCGGGGGCTCAGGAGATGGCAGGGCAGGTCACGGAAGCCTGGCGGAGGGTGGAAGGCGGAATAGAGGTAGTCTCCACCGGCATCCAGAGGATCAAGGACTTGGAGGCACGCAGGTAGGGATTTTAATTTTCCAATAAGTGTATGATTAATTTTGTTAAATGGTGTCAATGCATTTGTACTTTCTTGATAAAATTCAACTGTTTATTTTTAAAGTTTTAAAATTTATGCAAAAACTCGCTTGGTTTTCAATTTCTGCTCGCAGGGCTCGGACCGAGTTCGTCGGTATGATAGGCCAGATGCTGTCGTTGGTAAAAGTCACGCTCGGGGAGCTAGATAGCGATGCGCAAGTGCAGGTAGACGCGGATGCATTGCGAACGCTTGCGCTGGCGGTCAGCGAGCTACGCAAGTCGGTCGTGCGGGCTGAAGAACTCTTAGATGATAAGGAATTTATCATGGACTTTCTCGCAACTAGCGCCGAAGTCTTGAGCAGTCTGCTGGGTGCGGCTGGTCAATTGACGTTAAAGGAGTGGCTGGAGAAGCCCGAAACCCATAGACTACGTGTTAAGATGGCTTCAATGTCCCTTGACAGTATCGTGGTCAGTCCGCCCAGCACGTTTGTGTGGAATGTACTACTCGACGTCTCCCACAACCTCCTAATCACTATTGATAAGGCAGAGTACTACTTTGGCCAGCACGAATGGCTGACGCAACTAAAGTCTCCGCTACCCTCCACTGGAAATGCGCAGATCGTAGGTCCTCTTATAGAATCTATAAGAGAGCAGGTCTACGCCGGATTGGTCTTGTCGCAGCGCAGGACAGCCCTTGACAGTACACGGCTCTACGCTTTCCCGTTCTGCTCGGTAATCCATGGTAGCATTGCTGAGGATTGCGACGACGGGCGGTCCTTGGAGAAGCTCACTCAATGCGTAGCGATGGACTACAACCGGCTTCTGTCCAATCTTCAAGGAGACTGGCTCAGCGGCAAGAGCGTTGACCTGGCCTGCAGCACGTTTGATGTCGAAAGTGGGGTCGATGCGGCTTTTGCAACGTGGTCGAATGATGATTACGGCCCTCTGATCGCCGACCTCCTGGCCGGAAAGAGCGTTGTGGTCCACGCGGACGTGGTAGATAGCCTGAGCGGCACGTTCGCCGTCAAGTTCAACGTGGTTAGCCTCAAGTTCTGGATAGGCGACGGCTACAAACACGAGGCCTTAGCTGCTGCCCTACAAGATTTCAAATTGCAGCTCACGCACACGGGAGTATCGTACTTTATGTGTGGCGATCAGGTTTCAACCTTTTCACACCGTGTCGTCACTGTTGAGTCGTCATTTCGGCAACATGACAACGGTGAGCCCGTCCTCGCTAACGACATGTACACGACGTTGAGAGAAGGAGCCGCAGTTCTCAGCCCCTACACAACGTGGATTGCCAAGCTGCAACCGATGCCACGCAGGGGCAAGCCGGTCGATTACTCAGTACTTCAGCGCTTTGCAAAGGAAGTCAATTTGTCCCTTGTTGGATATGGGTCATACTTAGAAAGCAGTAGCTCTTGTGGGGAGTGCAGACATTCGAGATCTCTCACAAAGCAGTTCAGGTACGTCTGCCGTAAAATAACGGTATGTAACTGCTTCCGTATTATTTTGGGGGGAGACAACCACTCAAGAAATGACATCCCCCCCCCCCCCTTCTACCTTCTGCCCTCGCCTTTAATTATGCTTTTCTGTTGTAGCATGCCCGGGCGCACTCAGAAGAATCGACGCCTCAATCTCCCCGCAAGCTCCGCTGCCAAATCAGTAGCCAGGTCTTGCCCGTGGAGGCCTCTTGCCTAAACCCTGCCTGGGCCTGGGTCGGCTTTAGTGTCAACCAGGAGAAAACAGCAATAGTTTCCTGCGCACCATGCACAGTTTGCAGTCTTGCTACCAATGAAGTACCGAGTGAAATACTGTCGATAATAATGTATCAGCGTCCGCGCTTACAATTAGTTTCATAATCCGTTCTGCAACAAGTCCTCCTGCAGGACTGAATGACACTGAACTCAGCACTCTGCAAATCTGAAACTGTAAAAGTACAGTTTAAACTTTAACAGTAAGAATGTTACTGTTTGCAGCTATTATCAACGCAGCTAATATCAACTTCCAAGATTGAAGTTGTTAATTGGTGTCCAAACTCTCATGTTCTCCAATAAGGCATGTGATACCGTATTCTGAATCAGAACACAAATATTTGTAAGATCTATCCTTATGAGCTCCATAGTTTAACAGTGCTCATGTACTTGTTGTAGAACAGTTAGTTTTCACTCTAAACTGTAATCTTTAGTATTACTTTAGTTTTACAGTTGTAACTGTGAAGTAGTTCTTCAATTGGATTTGCAGAGTATTGGTTCAAAAAAGAAAGGACAGTAACCGAGGGAGACATTTTATCACCATCTCACCGTCTATCCAACATTCGCAGAACGCCCAAGAAGAGCCGTTTCTTGTAAATTAGACTAATTCGACATAATATTTTGAATGGTACTTTATCAGAATGTGAGACTTCTAGACTAGGCTAGATATAAAATTGATGCTGATTACAATCACAATTTTCTGATGTGAACTCTATGGTTGAAATAAATAAGAAAATAACGGTAAAATGATATAACAATTTGCAAATGATTTGATAAAGGCTTCAACAATTTAGTGATCTGCATAAAACAAGGTTCATTTACGCCAGACCACGTCTAGCGTAACAGGCTTCGCAATATCTCGCGGAACACTGTTACGCTGCGATGCGCCTGGCATACATCTATGCCATGGCCATGGCCTGTGGCGCTGACACCCGAGTCAAGAAGTCAAGTAGTGGAAAAATATCCTCAAATATACGAGCGTACGGCACGCCATTTTCGTAAAGCATGCAGGGTTGTAATTTTTTCGCTTAATTACGCCAAGAATACCCTCTAGCGCCTCAACGGTATGAGTAAGTGCAAAGCGGACAAAATTTTAGCCAATTTTCGAGCTCGAATGCTCATCCTTGGTCTCGATCTGTCTTTTAATGGTACAAAACAACCCTGAAATTCTCAAGTCGATAGCTCAATTCCTTCTCGAGTTGTCGAGATGAAAGACAGGCAGACAGACAAGTAAAACCAAGAACCTTCGCTGGTAAGTCAATACAAGCCAACAACCAAATGGCGCAACTTTCGGGGAGTGGCACGAAACTTCCAATGAAATTTCTTCCAAAATAAATTGGAAGTAAAAAACCTTTAACGCAATTTTCTTCCACACTTTTTGGAAGTGAATTTACTCCAACGAAAAGTTCTTCCAAAGTGTGGAACGAAATTGCGTTGAAGTTTTTAAACGGACCCGTTTCTGCCAGACAGTTGGGGAGAGGGG